GGAATCTTAGACCAGATCAAAGTGCTATAAATGATGCTATTGAGGTAGTTGGCAAAGTTTTAATGAGAACTACACATTACTATGATACTGTAAAGTACTGTGTATGTTTGGTCTTTGTCCAGTATCTTGGCAAACAGCTATTTCCTGAAACTGGTGGGGCCTCTGGAGTGAGAAGAATGTCTTTTGCAAGCTAACAAGATGACTGATGGCTGGAGGCTCATCCCTGGAGAGATCAGGCTAAGATGAAAGGGTTGGGCTTTCAGCTCCAACCCCTAATCTCAGGGAAGGAGAAAGGGGCTGACGGTTAAGTAGATCATCAATGGCCAATGATTTAATCAATCATACCTACCTAATGAAGCTTCCATAAAAACCTCAAAGGCATGGATTGGAAAGCTCTGAGACAGCCAAATATGGGAGGTTCCCAGAGGGTGACGCACTGTACTCCTCACACACTTTGTCTTATGCATCTCTTCATCTATGTACTTTGTAGGAGCCTTCATAATAAACCAGTAAAAGTAGGTGTTTCTCTGAGTTCTGTAAGCTCCTTTTGCAAATTAACTGAACCCAAAGTGAGGGTCATGGAAACCTTAATGTGCAGCTAGTTGGATGGCTGGACAGAAGTACAGGTTAAATAATTTGGAGTTAACATTGGCATCTGAAGGGGAGGCAATCTTGTGGGACTAAGCCCTTCTTTAGCTTACAGGATCTGATGCTACTCCCTCTAGGTAGATAATGTCAAAATCAAAGTGAATTAGAGATTGCCCTGCTTGGTGTATGGGGGGAAAATCCCACATATATCTTGTCACAGCAGTGGTGTGAGTGTCTAACATTATGACATTATAGTAGAATATTGTATTATTGTTCTTAGATATACGTGGGCATGATTTCTGCAATTCTCAAATGCTTCATAGCAATTGTGTAAGAATGTGTTTATAAATAAGTACATAGGTACATGTGTATATATAAAAATGTATGAGGCACTAGAAATGGATAAGATTAATGTAGCAAAATGTTAATAATTTGTGAATCTGGGTAATGACATGTAAGAGCTCTTTGTATGACTTTTGCAGTCTTTACAGAAAAAATATTCTCCATATGGCAGAGGAGCGGGAGATCAAGACAGCTCTCCTTTCAACATCATGCCTGGTTAGAAGGGAGCTAATTTCATTTATGATCATGGTGCCAGCACCTTTAATCACCTGCTAACTGCCACAGCTCTTAATACTGCTGCGCTGGGGTTGAGTTCCTGCATGAATTTTGGAGTGGACGCCATCATTCAAACCACTGCAGGCACTATGATGATTTCCTTAGCTTTTTCCCCTCAGTGCTTACAGACAGGACATTTGGTACATATAACTTAACAGAACTAAATTTCACTTTTATTTTAAGATACTGGCCAATATATCTACTGAAATAACTTTTAAAAGTACACAGGAACTGATTAAAAGTACACAGGAGCATGAAGAACTGTTTGCTTTAAGTGGTGTTCACATTTTAAGGATAACATCTAACAAACCATTATAGGAACCCACATTTTAGACAGGAAATGAAGACTTGTATTAGACTGTAGCAAAGTAACACACATTACTTTCCCTGAAATAACAACAAAGAGCCTCAGTTTATTACAGAGAGAGGTAATATATGTGCATCAGAATTAGTTGGGTATTTTAGAGGACTAGTTGCTACTAACCATGCATCTTTGTTCTACTTTACGTAAGAGCAATGTACAACTTCACAGAGATGCTAGCAATATTGCCAACACACACATGGTTCTACTGTAGGTCTAAGGCAAGATTTCTCAACCTCTGCACCATACACATTTCGAGTTAGTTCTTATCGTGGGTTCTGCAACATGTTGAGCAGCAACTTTGATCTCTGCCCACTAGATGCCTGTAATAGTTCCTCCCAACCTGACAACTAAACATGTCCGCAGACATTGTCAAATGTCCCTGGGGCAACACAATTGAGCCTAGCTGGAATCACTGACCTCAAAGTGTATAATTTAGATTAAACATTTCCATACATTCAATGTTGATTTTAGATAATGAATAAAGTGTTCACAAAATAAAATTAGGTATTGCATTGTCTCCTGGTATCTACTAAAGGATAAAATTCAAACTGTTTGGCCTGCTGTATTGTAACTGAGGTCTTCTATTCCTTCCTATTGAAAGGTTGCTCTCCTTACTGCATTCTGGACTTCTGAAGCACATAATACACATTCCCTTCTTATATGAGAAACGTATGAGACTTTGTCCATATCTCTGACATGTCGCAGTTATACCAGGACATGCCTTTTTGTGTTTAACTTAATGAATGGTGCACACTGGATAAAGATGTGGCTACTTACATCTCTCTCCTTGCTGCTGGTTATTTTTGCATGAATATCTTTGGGCAATAAGCATACAGAGAAATTCAGCCCAAAATTATTAAAAGGAGAAAAGAAGCACATGAGAAAGGGAAGGAAATGGGCAGGCCAGCTCCTGCATATATCTTCCATGATGTCTCATTAAAAAAAAAAAAAATCACTCCAGATTTTTTCTTTACCCTGAATTCTCTTAATTAGTAAATAATAGTAAGCCAGGTCATTTTTTCTCTCAAGATCTATTTTATTTTACTAATCTGGAAAGATGAGGATGGGACAGATATTAGCTAAATATTCTTTAGCTCAAATAATGTTAATATGATACTAATTACTGATATTCTAGGTATAGCAAGACCTATGAGTGCTGATTGTAGATTGACAATATAACTACATCCCTGGATATCTCGTTATAGACCTCTAGCCTGATTCAGTATGTCATTTCTCATATTCTTTTGTTCAAAAAGCTAAACCAAACAGTAACCAAAAAAGCTGGCAGAAATTTTGATGGATGAGAAAGCAATGTTTGAGTCAATATGCAGACTTATGATGAGTGGAGGACTGCTAGTAAAATAGTGTGATTGTTAATTTTGTCTACCTGACTCGGTGCTCAGATATTTGGTCCAATATTATTCTGGACAACTGTGAGGATGCTTCTGGTGAAATTGATATTTGAATCAGTAGATCAAGTCAAGCAGATTGCCCTCCCTCATGCAGGTAGGTCAAATCCAATCAGCTGTAGACTTCACTAGAACAAAAAGGCTGAGTAAGAGGGAATTTCTCTTTCCTGACTTCCTCAAAGTGGGTCATGGGTCTTTTTCTGCCTTCAAAGTTGGATTGGTTCTTTGTGGTTCTTAAGTCTGCTGGCTTTCTTATACCAGTGCCTCTCTGGTTCTGTCAGGCCCATGGACTCAGTCTGCCACTCCACCATCAGTTCTCCAGAGTCACCATCTTGCTGACTCCAGATCTTAGGACTTCTCAGTCTGTATAAGCACAGGAGTCAATTTCTTTAATCTCTTCTGATGTCTCTCTATCTCTCTATCTTTCCTATGGGTTTTGTTTATGGATACAAAACTAATCCCACATATGTTTCCTCACTGATACTATTATCAAATTGTTCTATTGAGACGGTAAAGAATTTCATTGAACTGAAAAAATTATCTTACAATTTAATATTTAACTAAACAAAAAAATTAAATTTAATTGAACCGATGCTATAATTACGTCTTCAGGCAACTGTATATAAAATTCTTTCCTTATCAATTATGAACAATGAGAATTGCATATATCAGGTTGCCAGTTCAGATTATATTATTATAAGTAATAAGTATATAATAATAGTAATAAAACTTTGGACAGGTGGAATGTCTTGTTTGTATTTATCAAGCACAAAAACAATGTACATCTCTAATTCATGGAGGCATCTGTGACAATGTTCTATTCTATGGTTTTTGTTTTGCAGAGATATTAAGCTAAGAATGTATGTGAGAAGAATAAAAGAAGTACTGCAATTGTTATCAATAAAGTAGAAGTTCTTTAAAAAGAATTTCTGATATTAATCAGATATTAATCATTTCAGAAAAATTAGTGAAGATAAACAGAAAAGACTAGGGCTTTCAACTTTAATCACATTTACTTTATAAATACTTTCCCTTCTCTATAATAAAAAATGCTCTGGTAGACATATGGTATGCTTGCCATATCTATATCTATATATCTATATATATATATATATATATATTTTTTTTTTTCCTTCTTTTGAGACAGGGTCTCGCTATGCAGTTCAGGCTGGCCTTCAGCTCACTTTGTAGCCCAGGCTGGCCTCGAACTTGCAATGATCCTGCATCAGCCTCCCAGGTGCTGGAATTACAGGTGTGCACCACCATGCCTGGCACTATGTATATTTAAAATACAGTTTTCTTCTCAAAATTTCAATTTACATACTACTTTATAATAATGTACACAAAACAAGGCAAGGAATACCTGCATAAGATTATCTTCTGATATGATTTAATTTTTTTGTCAGCAATGAAGTAACCTTAACAGTTTATCAGTAGACATTCTTAGATAGGAATAGACTATGAATTCATATTAGGCAAGCTATCATAGTTTTGAATGCAATACTATATTTTGAATTTTTAAAATTTCAGATCTGGCCAGGCACAGTGGTGCATAACTGTAATCCCAGCACTCTGGAGGCTGAGGCAGGAGGATTACCATGAGTTTGACGGCAGCATGGGCTACACAGTGAATCCAAGATCAGCCTAAACTACCCTGTCTCAAAAACCAAAACCAAAACCAAGAATAAAATTCAAATCTGACTCAATACATCTCTGGTCACTGCTCCTGAAAAGGAGTCAGCGAAGTTGGCTCGTGTTAGCAAGTAACTGTCTAAACTACGGTGGTGCTATGTACTCTTGGCAAAAAGAATGCTTATGCACGACAGTCCATCACATAATGAAACCATACATAAAATGTCTTGTGGTAGAAAATTACTTGGCTGAGATTATGAAAATACATTAAAGTTTTTCAGAAATATATCTGCCTAACTTAAGATTTTCATTTATGAAGACTGATAATACCATGAACAAAACAGAGCCTTAGTGCAGAGCATTTCAGTTGTTGGCATCAAGCTACTGACCTGTTTGACATGCTTGGAGATAGGACCTGGAATAATGCAGTCATCACTGTCAGAAGCAGATCTGTCCTCCTCATCTATTAAAAAGTAAAAAGGCAACACTTATTCAAGTTACCAATTATTTTTTGTGAAACAGAAATAAGCACATTTCATAGGATAAACCATAAAAGGACAGTATAATAATCATGTTTAGATCTCTTTTTGGTAGCAAATTTGTTCACAAATATATTACATTTTAGAAAACAAAAGATGATTGGAAATTTGAAGTTTACTTTTGGTAAACACAAAGGAAATACAAATGCATACACATAGATTGATCAAAATATACTGCAGATGTTTAAATTTTAAAAGTATTACAATAAAAGATATTTTGCCATTAATTCCCTTAAAACACCATCCCCCCCCTTTCTGAACACATTAAAAACTTTGAAGAGAAGCATAAATAGATATTTGTAACAGCCTAACCAATAACACTGTATTGAAGTCAATGTTATCCTTACTATTTAAAAATTTTTACAGCTTCATGGAGACAAAACTGACATACAATACACTATATACATTTAAGCTGCAATATTTGCTATTTGATGTATGTTTAATACTGCAAAATCATCATTATTCTTGCCACTTTCTGAAGCAGTTCTGGGAAGTCCTATTTGGTGTCTGTAAGAGGGATCAAAAATTGCCACCTGTGAAAAAGGCAGGCTCTAAAAACATTACCGTATGTCCTCATCTACCTTAGTTACAGGATCTGGCTCTGTATGACCTCTGACTCTTCCTCAATGTCACAAGGATCGTGGAAAACAAAAGTTTTGAATCAGTCCATGACACTGAGTTGGCCATAACAGGGCAACTACAGACACTCACAAAGACAACTTTCAGTACTGTTTCAAAAAGTAGGAAGACTGATGGCATAAGAGTGTGTGAAGGGAAGAGAATTTTGCAGGGCAACTGATTTTTCTGTAGTAATGTTTTAAATGTTTAGACACACACTGTATTTTTTCAGTCACACCTCATACAGGTTATAGGATGAAATTTAAAAACTTTGAAGAGAAGCATAAATAGATGCTTTGTAACAGCCTAACAAATAACACTGTATCGAAGTCAATGTTATCCTTACTATTTAAAATTTTTTACAGCTTCATGGAGACAAAACTGACATACAATACACTATATACATTTAAGCTGCAATATTTGCTATTTGACGTATGTTTAATACTGCAAAATCATCACAATTAAGAAAGCGAACATATCCAACAACCTCAAAAGTTTCCTCAAGGTCCTTTGCAAACGCTTCCCACTGCCCTTTCCCTGTTCTCATCCATTCTTCATCCTTGCCTGCATTTTGTTACTGTACGTTAGTTTGCTTTTTCTAGACTTTTATAGAAAAGAAACCATATAGTAATTTCTTGGGGGGCAGGATTCTTAGTTTTACGATGTCAAGACTATAGAATATTCCTATTGATAACACAGAATCAAAAAAATATAAAACTGTTTATAATATATATTGGGAACAAGGCCAGCAATAACACGAGTCCTATGTTCTATTGTGAGTTGTAAGCTGCCATTAGAAGAGATAAAGTTCTACCTAACTATAGCTAAGCAGAATGAACAGTAAATGATCATTTGTCAAGAAATCAGTATCATGAGTTCCACTCTATTATTAAATGAAGATGTGCTGTGGTACATATTGTAGTCAACAAAACAAAAAGACTTAAGTAAAAAAAATGTTGGTTTAAAAAAGAAAGTTACCTTCTGGTTCTATTTCTTCTGTTATTTCTGTTTCATCTTCAGAAGAAGCCAAGCTTTGTTCTGCAAGCTGGCCCTCAGAGAGTACAGATATATCATCTTCTTTCCCTTGATGCATTTTCTCAGCATTCTCTTTTACCTTAGTCACACTTTCTCGAGAAATCTGCAAAAAAACCACATAGCTATATTTATTATTACTTAGGTCATATTTTGCTGAGGCACTTGAATAAAAAAGAATGTAGATTTGAGACAAATATACAGAAATACAGTGCATATATATATGAGCCACAATAGATAAAGTAGAAAACCATTGAAGTTGTACAGACAAACAAAAAATCTGAATATATACTAAGAATGATAAAAGCAGTGAACTCAAAATGAGCTTTACATTAAGACTTTAATTCACATATCTTTATATCACCTGTCAAAATCAGTGTAATTGCAGATGTTCCACTTGTCAAATTTTGATTTTTCTGTTGCCAAGACATATGCAGAAATAGTATACACATGATTTCCTTAGTCATGTCAATACTCCCAAGACAAAGTCTTTATGAACCAAATTAAACCTTCCAAAACAATTTTAAAACTAATGCATACCTTGGAAATATGTGAAATAGCTGGTATATTATCTATTTCTGGTGCATGCTCTCCACCTGGTGAAATCTCCTTCATATCTTCAGGAGGTATAGAAATTTCCTTCATATCTTCAGGAGGTATAGAAATCTCCTTATATTAATGTGAAAATATGAATGCATATTATTTTACATTTAGTAGTAAGTACCTAATCACCTTATGACTTTTACATATATATGTACATATGTACTAGTAAAAATTGCAGCAAATATGTTACCCATGTGACACTAGACTTAATTAGTACATATTTTCCAATAAAATGGTAGATATGCTTTTTTTGGGAATGGTGCTGAGGATTGAACCCAGAGGCTCATGCATGATAATCACATGTTCTACTACTGAGGTACATTCCCAGATGGATATTCTTTAAGGCATATGTATATACATTTTAACAATTGCAAGTTCAGTTCATTGAAGCACTGGTTATTATAGCAGAAAAAACAGAAAAGCAATGAAAATGTCTAACATTAGGACATTAGTTAAAATATGGTTCATTCAAATACCTGAGTTCTGTGTGACCATGAAAAAAATAATGCACTTACTGACACTGTAGAGAGTATACGATGTGGTGTTAAATAAAATAGGTAGTTATAGCATGTGATAGATAGTGGTTTCAAGTTTTGTTAAAAAGAAAAACCTCTGATCAAATATATGTACGTATTGATTTTATTTTTTTTTTTTGGTACCAGGAATCAAACTCAGGACCATGCCCTTTCCAGGCAGGTGCTGGTGCCACTGAACTGTATCCCCAGCTCCTGTATGTATATATTTTAATGGGAAAAAGTATGGAAGAAAACTCACTAAAACTCTGAGTTATAAGTTTGGGAAACCTAATTTTATTTTTATTAGTTTTTCTTATTTATATTTTCTAGTTTTTCTATGATGATGATACATTACTGTGTAACTTAAATTATACATGCTAGAATAGGTATGTGCATCTTATGCTCAATATTACCTTGTTATTATATCAAATACCAACTTATTTCAGTTCCTCGCACATAATAAGCACTCAATAAATGCTAACTATAAGATGTCCTCTGAATTATAATTAACTTCATTTATTTAGTACATATACATTAAATTATTGCATATGAAAAGCATTTTTTTGTGGTACTATGGATTGAACTTGGGTCCCTGTGCATGTGTGCATGCTAAGGAAACATTCCAGTGCTGACCTCCCCCCTCCCTCCCAAAGTAATATAGTCCTTTGTATTTTATTTTATTTTCTGAGACAGAGTTTTGCTAAATTGCCTTAGCCTTGGCAATTTCACAAGTCTTGAACGTGTTATTCTCCTGTGCCAGGCATTATTTTAAGTCTTGTGAACACAGAATACTATTTTGATAGGGTAGTGGTTATATAGGACATATATGTAAAAAATTGTGATCTACATGTTTACAATTTGTGTCTTTTACTATATAATTGTTAACTATGTAGAAAATGTATTTCTTTTTTTTTTTTTTTTTTTT